AGTAGTGCTTAAATTTTTAATTTTTTTTTCTAAAAGTCCATAGCTCTTGAAATTTAGAGCATATGTACATCAAAAATAGGTGAATCTTAAAAAAATATCAAAAAACATATTTTACATGAAATAAATGGACCAAAATACCCCCAAAAGGTTTTGGGGGTATTTTAGTCAATTGTTTTCACAAATTATTATAATATATATTTTTATTAGGTACGGCTTGATGAGAATAACATACGTCTAAAATTTCAAGTGATTTGGATTTGTAGAAAGTTTTTTAAAATTCAAACATTGCCAAACATATGTGTTCGTCAGATCGGCCCAGAGTGGGCCGTTGGGCTTGTACTATTCCATGAGCTAGTGGGCTCACACAAGCTTTATATATATATATACACAACAAATCAGACGGCTTGAAATCTAATGGTAGGTGATTAGGAACTTGTTATCAATAATATGGATATATGACAGTAAAACAGGGGGGCGGCTCATAGTGATGGTGGCAATAGACCTGGGACCCAACGGGAATGAGTATGGGTCCAACTTTGGAGCCAAGGTCTGGATCCAGCCGGAACCCACCCTTATCAGACCCGTTGCCCCCCCTAAGTACAACTAGTTACCCTGTCATTCATTAAAAGGTCGTTCGGGTCCCAGAATACGCCAATCCTAGGTTTCTCTCAATTCATGATTTTGCAGATTCTAGTATATGTATAAGCAAATTTTGAAAACAATGTTGTTTGGCTGGTTCCTGAAAGATACGGACCCAGTATATGAAAAAGACCCCATTTGGCACTTTGAAGATGAAAACTAGTTTTTTGTTATTTACTGTTAATGCAGTTTAATCGTTCATTCTATAAGTTAATAATTCCCTAGTATTACATGACCAATAAAAAAGATTTTTTGGGAATAAGGTGATAATAATATAAGCAATAAAATAGACTGTTCCAATCATATTTTTCGATATTTTTGTAGATCGAATTATGATTCTCACTCTCTCTCTCGCTCTCTCTCTCTCTACGCACACGACCCAAGATAAGTTATTCCAAAAATTACATTACATCTATAACTGCATCTCATTAGATAATGAATAAGTTAAATATTACGAACGCATTAGATGGTGCATCTCACAAAAACTCCTAGTTAACATTAAT